CTCTGTCTCAAAAAAAAAAAAAAAAATCAGCCTCATAAAATATCTTTAGGAAAATCACCTAAAATACCACTACCCAAACATAGCTATTTCATTGTATTTCTTAATACCTTATACACACTTACATATTTGTAATCTTGTACAAAAAACATATTGTATCTGTTTTTCTCACTAATTCAAAGATATGTAAGTTAGACATAGCTTTTCCAACATACAAATGATCAGAAATCTTTGACAAGATTACACACAAGAAACTGTGTACATTTTTAATTGATTTGCAGCATTATTGATGGAATTTACCCAATACGAAGAGAACTGGATCAGTGAGACCAAAGATGCTGTATACGTAGGCAGTCCTCTGAGTAGGGTCTTCTGATGTCTTAGGCCCTACTGTCACAGCAAAATTAAGAACAGCTATTTTACTCTATAATTTCTAAGATTAAGAAAATTTTTTCTTTGTCTTGAGACCAGTGTGATCTGTGACCAGAATGAAAAGGGAGAGGAAAGCAAGTAGGATCCTTTGAGGAACTGCTCTGTGCCTGGCACTGTGCCGGATCTTTCCTCAGGGGTGATCTCACATGGTCATCACACTCTCTTTGTGAGTTAAGTAATAGAGTCTAGTTTTTATAGAGTAGCAAATTGAGGCTCAGGGAGTTAAGCAACTCATCCAAAGTACCATTACAGCAAAGTCCATGAGAGCATTTAGACACTGACCCACCCACTTCAAAGCCCATTAATTCTATGTAGCTTACTATATTCCCTCCATTTCCATCCTAGAGTCCTCAGTGGTTTTTATTATTTTCCTCCCATTTTGTCTCACCTTCACAAAAGGTTCAGTGCTGGATCATTGTACATTATTTCCAAGAGCATCTTGGAAGACGATAAACTCTACCAACCTAGGTTTACAAAACAGTTACTTAAATTCCATTAGATGGAGAAGTGGTTCTTGAATAACCTCATTCTGCAATGATGATTATCTTGATGCATATTCTTTAGTGCTTCTATGTAACATATACAATATCATCATTTACTTATGTTTACTTTCTAACTCTTAACTATATTTTGTCCATCTAGTCTTCCTTTGTGACTTCCATGACATAAGGTAAAGGATTGCTAGTAATTCTTAATTAATATTTAACAGATATGCCTTTTTGATTGCCCCTAAATCAGCTTTAACACAGGCCACACAAAAATTTTCAAGTGATCATAACTTGAAATGAAATGTTTTGGCTAGAAATGGATGAACCTCAGCAATACCGCAAGTCCTTCTGAGCTATATTAAAGGCCCTATTTATATAGTATGCCCTGATCTGTAATTGAATACTAAAGCTATTTGCTTTCTTCTTTATGCAGGCCGTACTCCAAAAACACCAGACTGGTACAATCCAGGTGAGTTAAGAAAACTTAAATTTAGCCAAAGCTGCTTTTACCTTTTCAATAGTGCATTTAGTTAATTATTTAAGTTCCAGCTTCTCTATACATCTTCTATATAAAATTTCTCCAGGCGAGGGAGGTGAGCGGTTGCTGTGGGATAAGGCAATGAGGCTAGACTTTTCCTTCCCTGTGAGTATAAGAGTGGCAGAGTCACTGGCTCAGGAATCCTTAGTTCCTTGCAATTGCACTGCCCCAGTCAGAGGGAGCCAGTAATCTATCTAGATTACGAATTTATAAATAGTTTTAAACATTAACCCATGCTTAGAGGGTACAGTTTGGTTTGCACAGTCATAACTCTGATCTTCTTCTCCTTTAGAGCGTGCTGGAATTCATGGACCTCCCGTTGTAATTGAAGGAAGTGAATATTGGTTTGTTGCTGATCCACACTTAAACTACCAAGAAGCCGTCCTGTACTGTGCTAGCAATCACAGCTTTCTTGCTACTATAACATCTTTTGCAGGACTAAAAGCCATCAGAAACAAAATAGCAAATGTAATTTAAAAGAATGTATTTTAAATATGTTTCTTATTTTTATACTTATTCCATTAAAAAAATTTCAAAAATTTTGCCCAAATCTATAAAAGTTAAATGTTCCTCTAATGTAAGATCTGTCTTACAAGTACCTAATTCTTTGTTTCATGTTAGAAAAGTTAAATAGAATTGCTTAATGTTTTAAATTATAGAAGATTAATAATAAATGCCCATTTATAAGATGAGCATCAGATAATGTTAAATATAAATGATCCTATTTCCTTGTCACTTTTTTAGCTAAAAGTTAACTTTATAGTTAACTTGTGTTTCTGTTTCTAATAATAACTACAAAATAGCTTTTGGGAAGAGAAATAATTTCTATATTTTTAAATTTATAATGAATTGCTATAGGACACTGTATTACCACTTAATGTATTAGTCCAATTAATGTATGCTCATAATTGCCACGACCATATTTTCTGTACCTAAAAACAGGTTCTGTAATACAGAGTTTTCAAATTCCTCTTTTGGTGAAAGGTCCTGGTTTGCGTAATTTTGAGACCAAAGTAATGGAATGTCTGGAAATTTTAATGGTTTGTAGTTATAGTAAGATAAAGTGTTTAAGTCAAAACTCTCCTAGAAAACACAGTACATATCATAATGGATATTTGGTTTGTTTTTCAGCTATCTGTTGATGAACAGAAGTGGTGGGTGAGAGCTCATGGGCCGCCAATAGATCATCATTTTATATAGTATGTGACATCATTGATTCTGCCTTTATAAAGTTATCACTTAAAAGAAGCATTCCCAGAGTCCCTTTTACTGAATGGATTACTATTTATAAGTAGTTTTGAACATTAATTCATAAACTTCCTAGATTAGAGAAACCAAGTCCTTTTGCATGTTAGCATCGAGAAAAAAGCAGTATAAAATAATAGCATTAGCATTAAATTTGGAATTAAAATAACTTGTGGTAAAAAAAACCAGAATGGAATGTCTAATTACGAGTTGTCAAATCTCTCATTTTCTTTCAGCTCACGACATCTATGGCGCCACTTTCACTTGACATTTGGAGAGGAATGCTTGTACACGTCTGCCAAGACTTGGCTTATGGGTAAAGTTAATTCCAGATCCTTTAATGTTGATTATGTAATATGTGAATTTCAGGTTTAATTTCTAGCTTAATCTTGTTTTCCTTTTGATTATATGTTTGGTAGCTTCATCTTATTCTGATTTATTGTAAAGGGTGATAGCTCAAATTCCAAACACAAATAAAAGTGCTTTTCACTGTGAATATTTTAACTTCCTTTATCTTAACACAGTTACTTAGAAATAAAGTTATCACTTTCATAATTGATAAGCATATAGAAAAATTTATAAAGATCAACAGGCAGGAGTTTTAAAGTACTGTTTAGATCCCTTTCTCCCTTATTAGACTTCCCCTTCAACTCTCTTCCTTCTTCCTCCTGCCATCGCTCTTGGATGGTGTGGTGGTTATACCACATGTGTGCTTTTTTTAAAAAAATTAAGTTGTAATTATTATGAATACATAATAGTTATATATATTTACAGGGTACATGTAATGTTTTGATACAGTTATACAATGTGTACTAATCAAATCAGGGTAATCGGTGTATCCATCACCTCAAGCATTTATCATTTCTTGGTGTTAAGAACATTCTAATTCCACGCTTTTAGTTATTTTAAAGTATACCATAACTTATCGTTGACTATAGTCACTTTGTTGTGCTATCAAATATTGTTCATTCTAACTATCTAGCTATATTTTTGCACCCATTAACCATCCCCACTTTATCCCTCCCCCCACTACCCTTCCCAACCTCTGGTAACCATCGTTCTACTCTCTGTCTCCACAAGATCACTCGTTTTAATATTTAGCTCCCACATATGAGTGAGAACATGTGAGATTTGTCTTTCTATGCTTGGCTTATTTCACTTAACATAATCTCCACTTCCATCCATGTTGTTACAAATGGCAAGATTATATTCTTTTTGTGGCTATATAATATTCCATTGCGTATATGTGCCACAATTTCTTTTTCCATTCATCCATTGGTGGACACTTAGGTCTTGGCTATTGTGAATAGTGCTGCATTAAACATGGGAGTGCAGATATCTTTCCAACATACTGATTTCCTTTCTTTTCCATATATACCCAGCAGTGGGATTGCTGGGTCATATGGTAGTTGTATTTGACTTCTTCATAGTGGTTGCACTAATTTACATTCCCACTAACAGTGTACGAGGGTTTCCCTTTCTCCACATCCTCTCCAGCATTCATTATTGCCAATCTTTTTGATAAAAGACATTTTAACTGGGATGAGATATCTCAGTGTAGTTTTATTCGCACTTTTCTGATGATTAATGATGTTGAGCATTTTTTCATATACTTATTGGCCATTTGTATGTCTTCTTTTGAGAAAGGTCTATTCAGATCTTTTGCCCATTTTTAAAATCAGATTATTTGATTTTTTTTTT